GGCCTCCAACCTAAGAGCGATGGCCTCCAACCTAAGAGCGATGGCCTTCAACCTAGAAGCGATGGCCTCCAACCTAAGAGCGATGGCCTCCAACCTAAGAGCGATGGCCTTCAACCTAAGAGCGATGGCCTCCAACCTAGAAGCGATGGCCTTCAACCTAAGAGCGATGGCCTTCAACCTAAGAGCGATGGCCTCCAACCTAGAAGCAATGGCCTCCAACCTATTGGCATCATTTGGCCATTTGGCATTTCGCACAAATTCAGTAGTGTCGCCCATGTTTCCCAATGCCCTGTTCAGTCACCGGGGTATTGGACACCTTTTTTCATGCTTCTCCTACCTAAGGCTTTAAGAAAGATTCGTCACTTCTCTTCCAGGCTGCCAGCCGGCTGCATGGCGCTGGCATCAGCAGCCTTGCCGAGGAGTTGTGTGGGGCCCGGCGGCCTGGAGTGCTTCCAGGGCGAGGTTGTGGATGCTGCAAGCCTCCAGGCATCCTTGTGGATGAAATTCACACAAGTTGGATATGTCAAATTCTGGTTCAACCTGGTTCTGGAGAAGTCTCAGATGGAATCCCAATGCAGCCATTGAATTGGAGATTTCTAGAAGAGAAGCTGGTTGGCAGATGCCTAACATCATAGTCTTGGGATGTGTTGGTTCAAGATCCACCGATCCACGTCCATGGATTTGCTACAGCCCTCTGGGTAGCAAGAGGGGTCTCGTTCAGAACTGGAGGGATGTAATTAGAATCTGAAAAAAGAAGCACCAGACAGATTCCCTGGTCAAAGGAACATCGATCACCAAACGCTAGCTTTGGTTCCAGTTGACTAGCAGCACCTTCTTTGATCCGAGGACAGCATGGACCGGATGGACTGAATGGACTAAATCCGACCCGCTTGGGCACCACGAGTTGGGATCGGCACGTCTGGGCAAGGATCTACAGGGTCCATGGGGAAGGATGAAAACATGAATCCTCTACAGTAGAGATCTATAGGCCATGCCAAACTATGGTCATTGCCGCAAACAGGTGTCCGAAATCCAATTTTCTCGGCCAAAGAAGGGTTCTCAGTAACACAACAAAAAGAAAAACTCTTCTTGCATGTGACATATGTGTGTTTATCTGTATGAACCAACAGGTCGGCACGGCGCTCGCCTTGCCAGGTCGCTCGAGAAGTCGCCAGGTCGGCGATGCCCCTCTCCCAGGCGGTCGGTTTCACTGGTCGCGTGATTCCTTCAAAGGCTACCCCATGAAAAGTGGATTAGCTGCCCGACCTTGTTTTTGGGGGAGTGGGTGTGTAAAGATGATCACTATTAGTTTATCATAGTTTATCTATTTTTGCGAAAGACCTGCAACCTAACGATCATCAATGGGGCCCATATCCATCCATATCCAATATATCTCAGTGTGTGTCTTAGTGTGTATAGACATATGGGTGTGTATTTTTATTTGGAGACCTCCCAGTTCGGAGCCCCTGGAAGAAGAGAAATAGACCCAAATCCATTGGTTGGGTGTCTCCCTATTGACTATACACCACCCATATAGTCTATACACCACCAACCAGGACGGTTCTCGCGTTTGACTGCACGGACCGCCGGACCGCGTCGCTTCGCCGGGCTCTGGAATGGACCCGTCGTTGCTAATGAAGCAGCAGGTCCATCGCCGTTGGGCGGGTGGGCAGGCCCCGAAGATGTTTGCACCTCAGCCACTTGATGTGGCTGTCGTCCGGGAGGTCTAGCATGTCAGCCACAGACTTTCTTGGCTTCGCAGCTTCGCCTTTGGGCGTCCCATGGAGCTACCTCCACTTCCTCCAGCTGCCGAGAGCTCCGGCAAATCACCCGATGCTCCGGCAGCGCCGGTGTCCCCGAGCGCGGCCCATGCATTGAAGCTCTGCATTTCTGGATTAGATGCTTGGTGGAACCCGAGTTCAGCTCGCCTGAAGACAAACATATGTTCTTTGATGTTCTTTGACCGTATGTTTCCAAGGTTGAAAGTCCGGAGAATTGCAGTTGATGTCAATGACTCAATGACAATATATGATCAGGCATGATGCGTTTGATGTGGTCCTGAGCCGCCTTCACCTTTCTTGGTGCGTGGGCATGGGGTTGTTTTCATCAGGATGGATATGAGCTGAAGATCTCTGTGGATGATGCCCTCCTCGGCAGTACCTGGCATTGGAAGGGCCCGGCAGGTCTTTGTTGGCGAAGCACCCCTTTGTCCCCTGCGAAGGAGCAATTTCAGATGCCAATCATCCACCCGTTGGTAGTTGAAACCTCCCCAGCCCTGCCCAAGAAGCGACTCTCTTCCGCTGAACATGTCCAAGCTGAGGCGAATTGTTGGACCTTGTGAAGATGCAGCTTCCATCAAAGCCAGGAGCCATGCTTTCCTTGTTGCCTGGCCTCCGTTGACCTTCGAACGCGGGTAATCCGCATCTTCGTCGAATGATGTCTTTTTTCGGGAGTCACCGAGCGGTGGCAGCTGGACGCTTGACATCGGCTTGGATCGACTTGGAGGTCGGACACCCTGGAGGTCTGTGAGAATGTCCTGGGTCAGCAGGGTACCTCTTAGCAACGAAAGTCATAGTTTGATGACGAAATCAAGATTTGAAGTACGACAATGAGTCTTGTAATTGCGAAATGACATGCTAGTTGTAAAGGACATGTCCTGCTTTGCACGAAGAGCCTGCATTGCACCAGGATAGGTCATCTAATCATTGCAATCATTGCGAAGCCGCCAGCTTTTTCACCTTTTCACCTCTGGTCTTGACGTGGCTGCAGGAACCGCGTGAACTGAGGTTGGTATCGTGTATGTAGCTGCGAATGGAGTTTCTGGCTTTAGTTGTTTTCCAAGTGCACCAAAATGGATCCAGGGCCGTCTTCCGGGCCGTCCAGGGAATGGAGGGCATCGCGTTACGGCCGTCTGGCATGAAGAGGAGAACAAATGTTCTATCTTATATAACGTGATCCAAAGGACCGATCTTGATGCAAAGCAGGAGATGGTCTATGATTCCCCAAACAGTGTGGACACACTAGGGGTTCTTACGGTAAGTGTGAAGCACTGTTTGGGGTCTCTTGCCAGGATAATGTCTTTTCAGGGTGTCTTTGATGTTTAAAAGGGCACAAGGAACAATCACGGCCATCCAGGAACACCCGTTTCGCAACCGAACGAGTTTCCCACTTAAAGAACCCTCCTGGGGGTTTGCTACTGGGGGTTTGCCTTTTATTGCTATCAAAGGGCGCCCTCCTGGGTCAGCAATCAAGAATCCAAAAGCCTGAAGCATCACTTGGAGATGAGTCTGAGGGAAATAGAGCCAGTTGAACACCCCCCCAAATCGCAATTTGTCCACCCATTGCATTCCCAACCTTCCCCTCCTCATTGCCCACCTCACAGGACGAGCTTCACAGATCCTAATGCGTTCCGTTAGTTGATATAGTTGCATGTTGCTTGATTTGGTTGTGCCTCAGACCCATAGCCACTTAGTTTGCAATTGAACATGTTGCAAGTGATTTCACAATGACCTGTGTGCTCTTTCTGGACCCCGAAGACACCCCCAGCTTGGGGATACAAGTGTCTTTGATTCGTTTACTTAGGTGTAGACTTGGGACAAGAAACCTTGAGACTGATGTGGACACTTAAGAGTACAGTATATGAACATGTTTGGGCCGCGGGCCCCCGACATGGGGACTCTCCTCTTCAGGCTTGTGAACAACTCCATGCTCTCCTTGAATGAGACGCTGAAGGAGCAAGGCTTTCAGAAGGACCAATCCCTTCACTATTGCTACACCACCGCGAATGCGTCCTACACTTAGTGGACCGGCTGACCCCGTGACGTCGCGTGGAACTCCGAAGACGGGGATGGGCGACATCCGGGGATGGGCTTGCAATCGTTGAAAAGGAAACATGGATGCCCTGAAAAAGGAATCATTCATTCATTCATATTCATTCAATCCTTGAAAAAAACACATAGAGTCGAGCCCCTGCTTCTCAGAGAGCAGAACCTGAGTCGTTTGTCCAGCAAAGTCCAGAGGTCGAACCTTCGTAGCCAGACCGCCCGACCGCCCGACCGGCCACACCCAGACACACCGACACACCCGGACAACCACCGCACCGGCCGAAAAAACGACGGTGGCGGTACGACATGTGACGAGCAAATGTGTCTGCCATGTGTTCTTTTTTTCTGAGGGGCGAGGCTTGGAAAGCCCTGATGGGTTTCAAAGTGGAGAAGGCCAATGAAGTCTTGGAGGGAGTCCTGAAGCTGCAGACTGAGACACAGGTGTGGGGCTGTGGTGCATGTGCGGCATGTGGCCGTGCCAGCGACGTTCCAAAAGCATTTACCCTGGGGTCTTGAAGGATCTTCAAGGCGTATCATTGAGGTGCTGGACATGTACGAAGGGCTGTCCAGGTGCCCAGTTCTTAGAAGTGTTCTTAGAATATATATATATATAGTAATACAAAGTATATATACACACACTATATATATATATATACCTATATAATATGCGTGTTTATTTTGAGCGGGGCTGCTGTACTCAATTTCCGTCAGCAAACACATTTGCCTGGTTTCCTTCAAAGGCAGGGGCAGTCAGCTGAGCTTTCTCCAATAACAATTGGTAAATTGGCGGTCTTTGGGCCTAATCAACACCTCGGTTTCCTGTCTCAAAGTCGTTGCCATCTAATGTTGGATCCGAATCAGTCAAGTGTGTTCGCCAACATATGCCAACACCCTAAATAGTTTAGTGGGAGGGAATTTAAAAAAAATCACCCAGTCTTTTTTACTTTACTGGTCTATTGTTCTGCTACTGCTATTGTTCCCCCTTTAAAATCCTTACTTAACTCTCCTGATGTTTGCTTGATTCACGGAATTCTGACCTGGAAATCGTTTTCAAAAAAAGATTAGAACTTAAACACCACCACCACCACCACCACCACCACCACCACCACCACCACCACCAC